GGATCTCCTACAGAGATCTCCCTTCGAGTGGTGGACTGGTAGCCGAGCACCATCTAATTCTTCTGGTCTCATAGTTATATAGGCTGAGGATTGCGTGGTGTACCAGACTGACCATTCTTTCAAGAAGCCTGGCTTTTTGACCATTTGGATTGAGAAGTCAGGCTTTGATGGCATTGTCCACTGCCTTGTCATACTGCTGGATTTTCATGTAGGCAGCAGATCTGTTGCTGTATAAGATGCAGTTCTGAGGGTCATCATCCGGGGCTTCATTATACAGAATAATAGCTGTGTGGAAATCTCCATCATGACACGCCTGGTTACTCTGAAGAACTTTCTCAACAAACTCAGCTTTGTTCAGCATTGGTCCATCAGGACTTCTTCAACCAATAGTCTTAGCACCAAAGAAAGGAATCTTGTCCTGCATCATCCTCAGATCATTGCTGTTTGAGTCCATTGTTATACTTACTGTGTTAACCCATCTCCTGGAAGATCTTCCTCTTTTTTGCTTACCTTCTTCTTTACCAAGCATGCTGTCCTTCTCCAGTGACTGGTCCCTCCTGATTCTAAGACAGATTTGTTCATTCTTCTGGCAGTCATGGTATATTCAGTATTCGTCACCAACATCATGATTCAAAGGCATCAATTACTCTTCTGTCTTCCTTATTCAATATCTATCTTTTGCGTACATGTAAGGCAACCTGAGCTGGCCCTTTCACTTCAACCGCATCACGAGGCCTGGGCGAAGGTCTGGTCCAAGAGGGGCTTCCCCAGGAAGTGCTAGGGAACCACAGGAGCAGCAGAATCCAGGTAGGAATTAGGTAAGCGGAGAGCACAGAGTTTTCCAGCAGCTAAGGGAGACAAAGTTGTGTCAGTTTGTCATCCTGTGGGGCTTATACATTGCTGTGAGGCTTGAGGCTGTGCCAGTGGTGTTTCAGACACCAGCAGAGTTGCACATGGTACACAGGTTTCAACACAGCTTACAGACTAAGACAGACTGGGAAGAAGGAAGAGGCCATCCACTTCTCAAAAACTGGCCAGGGAAACCTTATGAATAGCAGACAAACACTGTCTGATACATTACTGGGCAACTTTATGACTAGCTTGGAAACACTGTCCAACACAGTGCAGGAAGACGAACCCTTTGGGTTGGAACATATTAAAAATAGGATTGGAAAAGAGCTGCCTCATCAGAGTAGAACCAACCTTAATGATATAGATAAAATAAGTCTTTCAGGACCTCCATGTGCTGATGTGGCATGACTCAAAATGAGGAGAAACAGCTACAAACATCCATTAATAATCGGAACATGGAGTGTACGAAATATGAATCTAGGAAAATTGGAAGTTGTCAAAAATGAAATGGAATGTGTAAAGATTAATACCCTAGGCATTAGTGAGCTGAAATGGACGGGTTTTGGGCATTTTGAATCAGACAACCATATGATCTTCTATGCCAGGAATGACAAACTGAAGAAGAATGGCGTAGCATTCATCATCACAAAGGATGTTTCAAGATCTGTCCTGAAGTACAATGCCTTCAGTGATAGGATAATATCCATATGTCTACAAGGAAGACCCGTTAATACTACTATTATTCAAATTTTCACACCAACCACCAAAGCAAAAGGTGAGGAAATTGAAGATTTTTATCAACTTCTGCAGTCTGAAATTAACCAAACGTGCAATCAAGATGTGTTGCTTATCATTGGTGATTGGAATACAAAAGTTGAAAACAAAGAAGAATCACAGGTAGTTGGAAAATTTGGCCTTGGTGGCAGAAATAATGCTGGAGATTGCATGATAGAATTTTGCAAGACTAACAACTTAACTCATTGCAAATACCTTTTTTCAGCAGCACAGATGGTGGCTGTACTCATGGACTTTGCCAGATGGAGTACACAGGAATCAGATTGACTACATCTGTGGCAAGAAGCAAAGAAAAAGCTCAATATCTTCAGCCAAAACAAGGCCACGAGCTGATTGTGGAACAGATCATCAACTGTTCATATGCAAGTTCAACTTGAAGTTGAAGAAAATTGAAACAAGTCCACGAGAGCCAAAATATGACCTTGTATATATCCCTCCTGAATTTAGAGATCATCTAAAGAATAGATTTGATGCATTGAACACCAGTGACCAAAAACCAGAAGAATTTTGGGATGACATCA